GCACGTGCGGCCGTATTGCGGTCTGTCGGCGGTAGCCGCCATCTTCTTTCGGTGCGCAGTTTTGTGGACTGTAGGAACGAGGTAGGAGAGGGCCTCCGCGTTCCCCTTAGGGAAGCGAGCTGCATTTCCGCGGGAGGACCCCCATCTCCTCCATCCCCACCAGCGCAGCGCGCGGGTAGGGCGCGCTCACCCGCGCCCGCAGGTATCGGCGGCGCCCCTGTCAGCGAGTATCGGTGCGGGGCGCCATCTTCTCTTTGGCGGTAGCCTCCGGAGCCTGGCGGCTGCTGGTGTGTTCTGACTCCTGCAAGCAGGTCTGGCAGAGCGCAGCATGATCGAAGAAGACTGGAATGCAGAGATAGGGGACGAGGCGTTGCTCAGATCCCTTGAGAAGGTATGAGTGGGAGGGGCAGCTGTGGCGATGGAGTGTGTTTGCTGTTCCGTTTCTTTTCTCCAACTCGTGTCCCTGCAGTCTGAATGGCTGCTGGGCAGTAGTGTCCCCTGTTCCCGTAATTTTTGGAAACATGGTAGGCAGCCGTAGGAGTTCACTGTTGCTGAACTGAGTTTTTTTTCTGTGCTAGAAATTTACTTGCTGCTGTTTTATTTAGTGGTTGTTGTAAATTTAAGTGTTATTGATGTGACAGCTGTGTATAATGTGGTTTTTGGTAACATTCAGATGCAAACAGTATGCAAGTTAATGTACTGAAATGCGATAAACTGACGCAAACAGAAGAGCCATGAGAGTTTGTATTTCAGGAGATGTAGAAGGCAACTTCTTTCAGTGCATGACTCAGTAGCTGTTTTTGTATTTATGTTCTTGGCTATGCCTAAAGTTATCATGATGTGTCTTTTTTCTTTCTGCAGGTTAGCTTGCTTGAGAGACCAAATGACCCCTCATCTGTTTTCAGTCCAAGTGTAGATTCCTTTGGTATGTGAAAGGCACTTTTGACTTTACTGATGTTCGGAATAGTTGGTCCCTTGAGCATTGTACACGATAAAAGGAAAATAGAGTATTATTGTGGCATGTTCATTGGACCTCTGTGGAATAGCAGCATCAAATTATATACAGAACATGAGGAGTGGACTTTGCTTTTAATTATCAAAGCTTCCTTATTTACTGCAATTCCATAGTAACATGTAATTAGTAGTGAGTTAAAGGGAGCTTTGAATTTTAACTTAATTATTTTTTTTATTTAATTACAGATACTGATGAATTTGTAAACACCCAGCATCAGCCAGTGAGTAGTTTTGGTAGAGGAAGGAATTTTGCAGCCAAAGGTAACGTCCAGTAGTGCTTGTATTTCTAACAGCTAGTTGTATATAGTGTATAAAATTTTGCTGTTCACCACTTTCAATCAGCAGGCAGGTTCAGCTCCATGGAAGTAGATCTCCATCATGCATGACCATGGCTTGGGAAGTTAAACACCATCATGCCAAATGCCCTTCTCTTCATCCTGCTTTCCCTGGCTTTATATGCTGAACTTGATGCCGCATGGGATGGGATCAGTTTTCCTGGCTTTGTCCCATCCCATCTTGTGCTCCCTCATCCCCCTTGCTGGTGTGGTGAGGAGTGGAAATGGCCCCAACTCAGTGTGAGGGCTGCTCAGCACTAGCTAAAAATAGCTCTGTATTATCAGTACTTTTTCCAACAAGTCCAGTGCACAGCCCTGTGCCAGCTGCTGTGAAGGAAGTTGTCCCTACCCCAATCAAACACAGCACAGCTTATTCTTTGAAAAAATTCTATACCGTTTCTGCATCCTTTTTGTTGAGCCCTGTTATCGTGGGTGAACGCTAGGCTTATTTTGTGCAGGTCACTAATGACAGGCAGTTCTGCTGTAGACTCTCCAGCAGCAATTATGAACTTTCAAGCTGTATTTATCGATACTTAGGATATTGTATATATACATCATATCATTTTATGTGTATATCATATCACGTCATATCATTTATATATGAGCCCTTAAGATACAATTTTTATGTCTCTGACTGATGTGGGAAAACTAAACTGACTGACATACCCACACCAGGCTTTGTGGAGAGGAAGCTACAGGTGCTGTGCTAGGAGAACTTGATGGTGTCCTGTACCAGATGATGCTTGTTGTTACAATATGATAGAACAGGTGTTGTGCTGAAGAATAAGGAGTAAATTATGATCTAAGCTGATTGTTTGGACCTTAGATGAATTGTGAAACTTAAGTCTAAAATGAGGAATACCTTTATTTTATGCATATGATTCAAATCTATGCATATGTTTATTTCCTTTCTCTTCCCATCAGGAGAGTGACTATGGAAAGGGATTAGAAATAAAAATACACTACATAATTCTCACTGCCAACTGAATAATTGTTCTGAGTAATGAAAAAATACAGCTGGGTAGATCTGAAAGACATGTTTTCACATCCTCACTACATGTCACGCAGCAGCTGGCATTCCCACCGTCCTCTGTAGTACCAGTTAAGAAAACTGTGAAGGGCCAAATCCTGTCAGTTGCCCTCGAACCAGAAGTCTGAACTGATGTGTGGCCTTAATGAAGAGTTGAGGTTAGTGGCTTGATTAGCATACACGGTTGTAAAGCCGAATACTTAAGGACCCAATGTTTGATTTACTTCTTGAAATTGTACAGGAGAGCAGTTCTGTTTTCTGTCAGACTTCTTGTCAAAAAGTACTTCCTGTCTTCATCTTTTTCATATGTTTAGGGAAAACACTGTTATATATTGAACTTCTTGTGAAGTCACCAAAGAAGGAATGAGAAGATCAAATACCAGATTTAAGGGGCTTGACTGGCACATGAAAATTAGGCAAACTTCGCTGATTTTGTATTATGCTGTACTGCAGGTTTTCAAGAAGGAAATGGAGAAGATGCCCTTCCACAAAACAGAGGGTTTAAAGGATTTGGACAAGGTGAGAGTAAGTTTTTGTATTGACTGGTTTGTATGATTGCAGGATGTACTGGTCCTTGTTTTCTGGCTTTGCCCATTCCCTGAGAACTAGCAGTCAAGATTGACAGCTTTGAAATGACTTCTGTTCTTCAGCCAGATAAAAGGCACCTGATCTGCTCATATAGAAATGGGCAAATTTGAGTGTGTGCTATGCTGTATTGTTGCAGGTTTTCATGAACGAAACGCTGTAGATGGTGCTAGTACACAGAACAGAGGGTTTAAAGGATTTCGTGGTGGCTTTGGGCAAGGTGAGAGTGAGTTGGATGGTTTGGGCCTCTTTTCATACAGAGTGGTTTGGTATGGGGTACGGGGTATGCTTGATCTTACTGGATTTGCTTGCTCCCTGAGAACTACCATTACAAGGGTGAAAGCAGTGAAATGGCTTTTTAAGTCATATAAGTAATGTTAGATCTGTACATGAAAATAGAGCAAACTACATTATTTTGTGCTATGCTGTACTGCAGGTATTCAAGAAGGAAATGGAGAAGATGCCCTTCCACAAAACAGAGGGTTTAAAGGATTTCGTGGTGGCTTTGGACAAGGTGAGGGTAAGTTGGTTGTATTAACTGGTTCCTATGATACCAGCATACACTGGTCAGTCTTTCTGGCTTTGCCCATCCCCTGAGAACTGTCAGTCAAGAGTGACAGCTTTGGAATGACTTCTGTTTTTCAGCCAGGTAAAAGGCACTTGATCTGCTTGTATAGAAGTGGACAAATTGAGTTACTGTGTGCTATGCTGTGCTGCAGGTGTTCAAGAAGGAAATGGAGAAGATGCCCTTCCACAAAACAGAGGGTTTAAAGGATTTCGTGGTGGCTCTGGACAAGGTGAGGGTAAGTTGGTTGTATTAACTGGTTCCTGTGATGCCAACATACACTGGTCATTCCTTCTGACTTTGCCCATCCCCTGAGAACTGTCAGTCAAGAGTGACAGCTTTGGAATGACCTCTGTTCTTCAGCCAGGTAAAAGGCACTTGGTCTACTCACGTAGAAGTGGACAAATTGAGTTACTGTGTGCTATGCTGTATTACTGCAGGTTTTCAAGAACGAAAAGCTGTAGATGGTGCTAGTACACAGAACAGAGGGTTTAAAGGATTTCGTGGTGGCTTTGGACAAGGTGAGAGCAAGTTAGATGGTTTGTTCTTCTTTTCAGGCAGAGTGGTTTGGTATGGGTACAGGATATGTTTGATGATCTTCCTGGATTTGTTTGCTTCCTGAGAGCTACTGCACAGAACTGAGAATTCCTACTACTGGTTCTGTTCTTCAGCTGTGTTGTGGCATATGAATGGTCTCTTTTAAAAGCAAGTATTATTGGATACAGGATAGGTTGGATCTAATGAAGAAGTTGTTGGGACTATTGCTCTGCTGATTTATTGGAGTCAATAGCTGGCTTTAGTTTGTAGTATTTCATGATATTAATGTGCATATGATTTAGAGGAACTGATCAAGCAGCTCCCTCCTCCCATCCCTCCACCCCATGCCAGCCGTTCAGGTGAGCTAGGGGCAGAATTTGGGCCGTTTGCATACAATTGAAAACACTCTGACCAGGAGTGGGCAAACTGGGGTATAGCATGGCAGGCAGTAGGAGTGCTGAAATGGCAGGGCAGTGAAGGTGTGGCACAACAGGGACTGGCATGCCCATTTATGTGGCAGTTTGCACAGGTGGGGCACAGCCATCCTCCTCGTGATAGGTTGAGTGTTAATATGTCAGTGTGGTATTTTGGCAGGTTTGTTGTTGTACTTGTTTGTTTGGGTTTGTGTCATTCCCGTTCTTCCCCCTCCACCCCCGCTTACTAGATCCAGTACTGATTTGCAAATGGTCAGAAGCAATTGCTGCTGTCAGCCAGGGTTTGCTAACCCAGACATAATTCCCCAAGAGGGAAACAGGTGTCCAGGCCACTGGCTGCAGTGAGTGTCTTGGCCTGGTGTTAGTACCAGAAGATGTTGCAAAAAAAAAAATCTGCCTGTGGTGTAAGCAGGTGAGTGATTTGATCTGTCTAGGGGCAGAGCTTAAGAGATGGAATGGTTGAGGAGTATTAGAGGTAGCAAAAGAGAAATAGACTAGGGGAGTTACACCCTTCCAACTCTTAAGAGAAGCTCAGCAGATGTCAGAGGAGCCCTGCCTCCTGCAGGGAGGAGGAGGAGACCTCCCTAGATGGGGTGGGAATCAAGTCCCTTCTTGGAAATCAAAAAATTCCCTTGCCATTGCCTTCCCAGGTATCCTTATAGAATAGGAATGAGACCCTGGATCCAGTAGGTCAGGCAGATGAAAGAAAAAAATATCTCTGGAGGGTCTTCCAATTGCACTTTGTCAGATGGATCACAGCCTCAGGTATTTAGAAGAAAGGAAGGGTGATTGTAGTAGGTGGCTTGCTTATAAGGGGATCTGAGGACCCAGTAGACTGGACCTGGAACCACCTCACAGGAAAGTGCTGGATCCCTGGGGCCCGCTACAGGATATCACCAGGAGACTCCCTGAAGTAATTTGGCCCTCTGATTATTATCCACTGCTGGCTGTCCAGGTTCACAATGATGGAGTTGACAAGAGGGGCACCAGTTCAATTTAAAAGGACCTCAGGGCTCTGGGTCAATTGGTTCATGGGATAAGAGCACAGGTGATACCATGCTCAGTTCCTTCAGTAACAGGGATGAATGATGAACAGGAGAACTGATATTATCAATAACTGACTTAAGGGCTGGTGCCATCAGTGAATTTTGCTTTTTCTGATATGGGCCAGTTTTCACAGCCAGCAGCAGGCCTGTTTGAATCAAGTAGGCTCTGTCTAGGCCAGAGTTAGCAGAGCTGATTGAGTGGGCCTTAAAGTAGGTTTGAAGGGGGAAGGGATGACCAGGCTTTCCAGAGCAGGAGGCTAAGGGTGGTAAGCCAGAGTCAGCTGTGAGAGCCCAGCTGAAGTATGTGCGCACAAATGCGTGCTGCGTGGGTAATGAGGAGCTGAAAGCTGTTGTACAGAGGGAAAACTCTGATGTAGTAGCTGTCGCAGAAATGCGGTGAGATGACTCATACAGCTGGAGTGCTGCAGTGGATTTCTGCTTGCTCTTCGAAGGAACAGGCAAGGGAGAAGAGGTGGAGGAGTCACTTAGTGTATTAGAGAGGTCTCAACACTACAGAATTTAGGATTAGCAATGTTGAGGTTGAGTGCCTAAGGACAGGAATTGGTGGAGGGCCAACAAGGCTGACATCCTGATGGGTGTCTTACAGACTGCCTAACCAGGATGAAGAGATAAGTGAATTACTCTGTAAGTGGCTGGAGGATGTTTCAAGATCACCAGCCCTTGTTCACGTAGGAGACTTTAACCTACCAAATAATCTGGTGGGAACTCAACGCTGTGGAGAGTGTGCAGTCTAGGAGGTTCTTGGAGTGTATGGAGAACATCTTCTTACCGCATCTGGGGAAATACAGGCCTGTGAGCCTGCCCTTGGTGCCCAGCAAGATTATGGAACAGATCATCTTGAGTGTGATCATGTGGTGCATCTAATACAGCCAAGGGATCAGACCCAGCCAGCATGGATTTTGGAGGGGCATGTCCTGCCTGCTGAACTCAATCTCCTTTTATGGCCAAGTGACCCACCTGATGGATGAGAGGAATGCTCTGGAAGTTGTCTACCTGGACCTTAACAAAGCCTTTGACACTATTTCCCATAGCATATGCCTGGAAAAGCTGTCAGCCTATGGCTTGGACCGCATGCCTGGGTAAGAACTGGCTGGACAGCTGGGCCCAGAGAGTTGTGAACGGTGCTACGTCCAGTTGGTCACCAGTCACTCATCGTGTCCCCCAGGGATCTGTGTTTGGCCCAGTCCTGTTCAATACTTTTACTGATGATCTGGAAGTAATTTTGAGTACTATTAGCAAATTTGCAGATGACACTAAGTTGGGTGTGTGTGTTGATATGCTGGAGTGCAGGAAGGCTCTGCGGAGGGACCCAGACAGGCTGGATCATGGGTTGAATCCAGTGATACAAGGTCTGTTAAGTCCAAGTGCTGGCTCCTGCCCTTGGGTCACAGCAATGCCCTGCAGTGCTACAGGCTGAGGCAAAGTGGCTGGACAGCGGACAGGCAGAAAAGAGACCTGGGGGTACTGATTGACAGGCAGCTGAACGTGAACCAGTGGCCAGGAAGGCCAGTGTCATCCTGGTCTGGATCAGCAGTAGTGTGGCCAGCTGGGCCAGGAGAGTGATTGTGGTTGATTGGCACTGGTTAGGCTGTACCTTGACTACTGTGTCCAGTTTTGGGCCCCTCAGTTGAGGAAGGATCTTGAGATGCTGGAACAAGTCCAGAGAAGAGCAGCAGGGCTAGTGAAGGGTCCAGAGCACAGGTCCTATAGGGAGCAGTGGAGGGAGCTGGGGGTGTTCAGCCTGGAGAAAAGGAGGCTTAGGGAATACCTTACGTGCTGGTTTTGCACTTAGCATTCTCTACAACTGAACAGAGGTTGTAGCCAGGTGGCAATCAGCCTGTTTTCCCAGGCAGCCGGTGACAAGAGAAGAAGAAATAGTTGTAGGGTGCAGCAGGGGAGGTTTAGTCTGGACATCACAAAAAAGTTCCTCACAGAAAGGGTGATTAGGCATTGAAATGGGCTGCCCAGGGAGATAGTGGAGTTATTGTGCCTGGAGGTGTTCAGGAAGAGCCTGAACTTGGTACTCAGTGCCATGGTTTAATTGATGAGGTTGTGTTCACTCGTAGGTTAAACTTGGTGATCTCAAAGGTCTTTTCCAACCTAGTTGATTCTGTGATTCCTGTAATTATATACCCTATATGCACTGCACTGTTACAGGTGCTAGAGATGGACAAAGGGGTATACCTCAGTCTGGAGCTCTCAGAGAAAGTGGAAGTCTCGCAGATGGTGCAGGTGAGACTTTTTTAGTAGTGGGGATGAACAGATTTCCTCATTGGTGAGTTATGGCAATGTAGCTAATTATTAGCTTGATGAGGACTTTGAGCAGCCTGATTTTGTGTGTGGCAACCCTGCTTATAGCAGGGAGGTTTTAACTATGGGACCTTTAACCCAACCCAAACCATTCTATCATTATGTTTTCAAAAGTGCTCCTTGATATCTGAAGAACAATTGATTTGACACTATTTTTGGGTCAAGTAATGATTTTTCATAAGTGTTACAGTGGCATTATGCTAGTACTCATTGAGGACATAACACAGGTTATAATATTATATATTACATAAAATTTTACATAATTACATATAATATTACATAATACGTGGTAGCAGTTCTTTTTTATTAAAAGAAAAGCTGCTTTTTTACAAAGCCAGCACAGTTTTTATTCTCCCAAAAATATTAGGACCATTTTCCTACATTTTGGGCTAATTGCATTATGGTAAGGGAGTGCTAGTCTTGTTAGACTAAGCAAGACTAAGCACCACTTAGATGCAGGGCACTGGTGACAAGCAGTTTTGGTGTAGACTCTTGAGCAGCAATTGTGAGGAAGCTGTATAGCTGTATTTAAAGACTGTTGTATTTATGGATACTTAGGATACTGTCTTTTGCAGTATCCTTTAAGATCTGGTTCTTATTTGTTGATGTGGAAAAACCAAAATGCCTGACATACTGGTATACACCAGGCGTTGGAGGAGAGGAGGCCACAGATGCTGTGCTAGGAGAACTTACTGGTGTCATCTACCAGATGATTCTCTTCGTTTTTACAGTATGATAGAGCAGCTGAATGCTTTCTGGCAAAAAAGTATTTTTTCATATATTTAGGAAAATCACTTTGTTATATTGTACTTTTCATATTAATAAAATAAGGACTGAGAAGAATAATTACCAGATAAAAGGTGCTTGACCTGCACATCAAAATTGGGCAAACTTTACTGATTGTGTGCTATGCCGTACTGCAGGTTTTCAAGAAGGAAATGGAGAAGATGCCCTTCCACAAAACAGAGGGTTTAAAGGATTTCGTGGTGGCTTTGGACAAGGTGAGAGTAAGTTGGTTGTATTAACTGGTTCCTGTGATGCCAACATACACTGGTCAGTCTTTCTGGCTTTGCCCATCCCCTGAGAACTGTCAGTCAAGAGTGACAGCTTTGAATGACCTCTGTTCTTCAGCCAGGTAAAAGGCACTTGGTCTACTCACGTAGAAGTGGACAAATTGAGTTACTGTGTGCTATGCTGTATTACTGGATTTGTTTGCTTCCTGAGAGCTACTGCACAGAACTGAGAATTCCTACTACTGGTTCTGTTCTTCAGCTGTGTTGTGGCATATGAATGGTCTCTTTTAAAAGCAAGTATTATTGGATATAGTACAGGATAGGTTGGATCTAATGAAGAAGTTGTTGGGACTATTGCTCTGCTGGTTTATTGGAGTCAATAGCTGGCTTTAGTTGTAGTATTTCACAGTACTCATTTTTTACCATGTATCTGCTACGTATCTGCTACTTACAGGTACAAAAGGTGGGCAGGGGGACATACCTCAGTCTGGAACTCCCAGTTCTAGAGAAAGAGGAACACTCACAGATGGTGCAGGTGAGATGTTTTAGTGGTGAACTGTACGAATTTCCTCATTGATGATTAATGACAAAGCAGTTACTTTTTAATTCTGAAAAATACTGTCACTAATTTTTCTCGCTATTTAGAACCTTCTGCAAATGCTAGGTATATTGTATACTTGTAAAAGACTAATTTATTTGAATTTTAGTTACTGGATTTTCAAAACTGTTGTGTTACGTAATATTTTTACTTTGTCTTGGTGATGCTGGTCCAGTTAATGCACAGTCAAGTAGAGGCGCTAACCTCAGATTTGAAAGTAAGCCTTAAAGAACTTCCGAGTTTTGAAAGAGTTGATGTAGACTGTCGCCCTTACGTACAGGGAAATATTTTATTTTCAGCGCAGACAAGTAAGGTGTATAGCTCTGACAGGCCACTTATTCCTGATTTAACTTTATTTTAGTGTTGAGGGTTTTTCTTGTCTGCTAGGGATTTTCTCCCCACAGTTCTGTGGTATTCTTTTGCCACTGATGCCTTCTGTACCTGGCTACCTATGTTGTCCTACTTAAATTGTAGTAATATGTTACTCACAGGAGTACTATAATTCACATTAACAGTGGGATTAAACCACTGTGATGGCCACGTAAAACATTTTGTGTGATAATTGTAAAAAAGCTTCTCATCATAGAAAACATGGCTAAATGGCTCTTTATTCGGAGAGTGACTTGCAGCGAAGCACTGTAACAGGTTGACTGGAGAGCTTGTGGATATCTCATCCCTTGAAGTGTTCAAGGCTACATCCAGCTGGGCTTTGAGCAGCATGGTCTAGTGGACCATGTCCATCCTGTGGCATGGGGGTTGGAAATGGATGATCTTTAAGGTTCCTTCCAACTCAGACCATTCTGGGATTCAGTGATTAGTATACATGTTCAGAAGTGATGCTTAATATCTGAAGAACAATTGATTTGCCTCTCTTTGACTCAGTTCAACTCAACTTTTTCAAATTTTTAGTTCAAATAATGATTTTTAGGAATTCTTCACAGAGGCAATGTGTTAGTGCTTATAGTGGACATAACTGCATCTTTCACACAGAATAGTAATTCCTTTTTCATGACTATAGTGTAAGGTCTTAGCATCTTAAAAACCAGTCTGGATTTTGGTATGCAACAATTGCATCTATCTGTATGGAATTTAATGAAGAAAGAGAATTCTAAAGAAAGAATAATTTGTTGCAAGGGAAGCATGTCCTTCCTTGTGCCATAAGGGCATGTTTCTGTCCAGATGATAAAGAAGAGCCTAATTTAATTTTTGCAAGTACCTCTGGAAAGTGGGGTCCTTGAGCAGATGTGGACATTGAATGCTTTATGAATCTGACTTCATTTAGAGGTAAATTGTAGGTCTCATAGTATAAAACTAAGTTTTATAAAATTAAGTAGAATGAGTATGAGTATGGAAATTTTTGCCTTCCTGAAAAAAAGGAGGGGAATCCAGTTGACAGCTCACTGAACTTGACTTCAGTAGCTTCATACTTAAAATTTTATTCTAACTTCTCTTTATATTGTTTATGAACTTAAGTGGTTGTATTCTTAAGGTCCAAAGGTGACTTACGTACCCCCTCCTCCACCTGATGATGAAGAAGCCATCTTTGCACGTTATCAGACAGGAATGAATTTTGACAAATACGATGAAAACGTTGTTGAAGTGTCAGGATTGGACCCTCCAGCAGCATTAATGGTTAGTGAACTGGTTATTCTCACAGTTTATGGTGAAGCATGATTTACAAGAATGTGTGGTGGGTTCAGTATTTCCAGCGAATGAAAATACTAATAAAAGATACTGAATCTTGCAGATAGTGTGATGTTGGAAGGAGGTGCTCCCCGTTTGAATGATAAAAATTTGAATTCAGAATAACTAACTACATAAATAGTCCAGAGAAAGTAATACTGGATATATAGAAAGAACAATCATTAAATTGTGGAAGAGTACCAGTTCAGATATTGAAAGAAAGAGGTCTTTGGGAGCAGTTTCTGGGCAGGCTGCTATAGTTACCTTACTGAAGTCAGTTACTGGGGGATCTTAAAAATGTAAATGAAGACTTGTTGGGGTAGTAGTTGGACACAGGAGTGTTTTAAAAAGCCCTGTTTGTTCTCTCTGGTTGCAATTCATTGTTTAACATAATAACTTAGTTTTTATCTATAATGCGTGGCCAGTGTTTAAAAAGAATAAAAGCTCTTTTTAGGGCTAATAATGAGAAGTGCAGCAGGGTTAGTAGAACCTGTGTTGGAAGAGTAGATCCAGAGGTGTTCTCCCCATCCATCTTGTGAAAGGTGTTCTCACTGAAGTTAAACTGATTTTTTTCACCTGTGTTGCTTTCTGGTCCTGGCTAGAAGTGTTGTTTCAGCTACCCTTACCGATTTTAGCACAGAGACCACGTATAACTCCCTTGTGAAATGAAGCTAAAGAGTTCCAGTTTTTTTTCATAGCGTGCTATGTTAATTTACTTGCTTGAGTCCAGGTAAATGGCTTCCAAGCAGTTTTGTCTTAAAACTAGTAAGATCAGCTGAAAGCATTCAAAGCATTCACTGTCCTGCAGACAATGTTATTTGAATGGCATGAGCTTATTTTAGAGACCCTTGGGGCTTTCACCTTTAGGAGCCATGACAACCTAAATGACTGGTGAGACTGCCTCTGAAATTAATACTCTTTAGTATTTGGATGTCTGTATCCTTCAGTAGACATTTTGGTTTTTAAACTTACCATCTGTGATTGTGTAATAACTGTTAATAATTTTTTCTCTTACAGAGTTTTGCAGACACTAACATGTGTCATACTTTAACTGTGAACATTGCTAAAGCTGGATACTCTAAACCTACTCCAGTACAGAAGTACAGCATTCCTATTATACTGGCAGGACGGGATTTAATGGCATGTGCCCAGACAGGGTCAGGAAAAACTGTAAGCATTTTGTGCAGTATTCTACTGAAAGTGTGTGACCGTGAGCTGTCAGGGGGATGCCTCACTCTTCCACATGTCAGCGTCCTTAACTGCTTGTTGTCCAGTAATTTCACTTGCACTGCAATGGCACCTGTGAGGCACAGATACAAATGGTAACAGGGTTGTCAGGTTTAGTGTTTTGATACAGGAGGCCAGCCTTCGGAGATACAGCTGTGGATTCAGAAGTATAGGCAGGTAGTCTTAGAAACTGCTGATTAAAGGACCTCAGGAGTTAAAAGTAGGGACTTGTGTGTTGCGTGGGGTTTTGTCTTACTTAGTGGGGTTTTCTAATTTGGGTGTTTCGTTTTGTTGGTTGGTTGGTGGTTATTTTTGGTGGGTTGTTTTTGGTTTGTTTTTGTTTTTTCTTTTCTGTTTGTTTGTTTCTTTATTTTTCTATGCTGTGTGTATGAGTTTTGTGTGTGTTTTGGTTTTGTTTTTTTCTTTTCAAACTTATGCCGGAGTGTAACTGTGTTGTGCAGGTTTGTTGTACTTGGTTTGATGAAGTCTGATCTGCGCCAGTCTTGGTTTTAGGTGATTAGCTTTGCATGGAACAGTGTTGAGAGTTCATACTAAGTTGAAAATCGTTTCAGCTTTTTGAAACTCTCTAATGTACCCAAACCTAACCACTCATAGCTGGTGAATGGAAATGTTTGGTTATGAAATGTAGCTTTTTGCTATTCAGTTTAGTGTGAAATCCTAGTTTTGTTTTAATGTAGCTTATTAGTTACTTATTTTGAAAGACCCCTTCTGTTTGCAGAAGGGGAAATACTCAAAGCCTGTGCTCTAAATAGTCTGAATGCTTTTGGGACTGCTGTACAGATGCAAGTTTGTGGGTATCTAGTCTTACGTGGAAGTAAGTGTGCTGGTGTGGAGCTGTGTTGCAAACTGACCTGAAATTCTAGCAATCTGGGGAATGTTTGTACATAATTACTTTACAGACCTACTGATGATAACCTATAGCTTTTGAGTACACATTAAGGCTGGTTTTAGTCTTGGGTTACTTAATTACCAGGGTATGTCATCAGTGTATGGAACTGTATGGAGAGTTAGCCACTGCATGATTGTGTTCCTGCGTTACTAGAATGTTAAGATCCAGATACAATACTTCATTGTGGTTAGCAAGGAGAAATAAGCTTAAATTAAAGTTCTGTTGTGCATTCAGATCAATCCTTTTGCGGTCTGATATCCTTGATCATTGTGTGCACTGTTATTCAAGCTTTAAGATTGATACACAGACTTTAATGTGATTGATGAAAGCTTTTAAGACTAAACAACCCAAATTCTGCTGTGTTTTTTTTCCCCCAGGCAGCCTTTCTTGTACCAGTTGTGGCCCAAATGATGAGGGATGGTGTAACTGCCAGTAGCTTTAAAGAGCAGCAAGAACCGGAATGTATTATTACTGCCCCCACTAGAGAACTGGTAAATCAGATCTTCCTAGAAGCAAGAAAATTTGTGTATGGGTAAGCTCTTGCACTGTTGCCTGGTATTGATGATTGATTACTTTGCTTGAATCAGCAGTGCTTTGGTTTTTTTCATAAATACTTGCAGGTTTTTTTGTGCCGATCAAATTACAAACACTTGAGATTATGAGTTCAGATTATAGCACTGGTTAGCAGGTTTCTTACTATATGACTAGGGATTTAAGTGCCTAATCTTTCTGATGCTGTAGTGTGTGAATGGAAAGCTTAGTCCACTTCGAAGCAGAGGTGAGTATTCAGCTTATCACTGGTGAGAAAAGTGAGATTTCTTAAAAGATGTGTTACGAAAATTTTCCTGTCTGGAAAAAGTTTCTGACTGTCCAGGAGCCACTCCTGCAGTCACTTTGACACCACCTTAAACTGCTGGGATCAAAGTCCCTTTACAGCAGGTGGCTCTAGTGAGCTGTTGGCTGCTCTGCTTGACTTCATATACGCACCACTCAGAGTCAGATGAGGTTTCCTCACTGACTTGACCACAGGTTTCCCATAGCAGAATCTCAGGCCTGATTTCTTGAAGTAATTTCATTGTTTTGAAGAAGCATGCAACAGCTCAAGCAGCATGTCTCCTGAAGGGATCCCTGAACAGCGGAATCACTGACTTTTATATGCTCACAGTTTATGTACCTAATACTTTGAGGTCTTTTTACTGAGTTATTTGCTCCTGCGGTGTCTGAGTGTCAGGTAACATGGCTAGTCATGCAGGTCCTTGTGCCCTTAGTTAAGCAAAGAGTCAGTAACCGTTCATGGTCTCTTCCCTGGGCTCCAGCTATTTCTTACCATCCAGAGGTCAGTCAGCAGCTTGCACTGCAGCTGCACACTGAGATACCTGCACTAGATATATTCAAATATAAAGAAACTTACTAGCTTGTCTTATGTAATTTATACTTGCTTTGCTTTCATATTGGTAAAATGGAGGTGAGTGTTACCAGTTTTAGTTAGCTTCCAGTGAGGGTTTCTAATTACTCTTACTTCCCTGTGTTTCTGGTCTTAGACAGGTGTGTCACAGCTCAGGCAAACTTTGAGCTCTCAAGATAGAACTAGATACCTAAACTTCTCATTAAGTGTTGTGTGAGAGTACATTTGTACTAGATTTGTCATTAACCTTTTTACTAAGTAATAGGTTTTACCAGTGTACAGAAGAGAAGTAAATCTATTGTATGTAGCAGTTTGTTACTGTTCGGAGGTGAAATGCAGAACATCATCGCTGCGGAATCTGATGGGATAAATCATACTTGCCTTTGTTCAAGCAAACTTACACTTGGAGGGTCTCTGCCTTCAGGAAGAATGATCATGTTTGCATATCCACTTAATAAATGCATTACTAAGAAGTTACAACTTTGTAACTGATTTGTTCATTATGCTATTTTAAACTATGTACAGATGATTTCACCGTAAAACAACATCAGAATCTAAAAAGTTTCTCTTACAGCTGGCCTGTAGGAAAAAATGAGAATGAGTTAAACAACATCAGGATATGAACCTGTAGTGTCTAAAGAAGAGTGCATGCATATTGATCAGTTGAGATTTATCATCTTAGGTTCTTTGATTTAATTCACAAATGGGAATATGAAATATGTATGTCTACTAATAATGGATAAATACTGAAATTGTATGATTTCACAGGGAATTTCTGTTCTTCACTGGAGCTTTCTGGAAAGTTTAGATTAGCTTTGGTAAAAATTCACCAGGTTTATCTGATCACCATTGTTGCATATGAAGTGGAATTAGTATCTTCAGTAAAAGATCATTTGAATTTGGGTGTGAAAATACTCGTTGCATGTATGTAAAAACCTTAGCAGAAGGTGTTATAAAGATGAGCTTGTAATACAAGGTGTTTTAAGATGAGCTACCCCATGACACCATGATTCAGAGCTTCATAGGGTTGTTCTTAGAGAAGTGGTTTTCTACAGCAGAGTATCTGATGTATCTCTAGTTGGCAGATATAACCAAAAAGCTTGGTGGGAAGAACACTGAGTAATCTTTGAGTGAATTTCCTGTCTAATCCTTGAGTCACACACTGTATGACCAGTGTGATTAGCTGTTTTATAAAGATGCCATTTATGTATTTATTATTTTTCCCTTTTAAGGTCTGCAAAAATTACTTGGAAGTTCTAGAGGCATATGTAGTGATGCATCTACTTTTTCTGAGCATGCTGTATAAAAGGGGACAAAGTCTTAGCACTGTTTTGACTTGTTAAAGTTAGTAGGTCTCAGTTGAAGAGACAGAAGAATGTATGTGAAATTGTGTTTGTTCCTAGCAAGCCACTTGAGCAGCCCCTGTTTTATAGTGTGAGGGGGAGCTTTGAGCTTATTTTGAGTGAGTTTCTGGGTTTGAGCATTGTTTTTGGACCGAGCTATATGCGAAGGAGTTAAACCACTCTTACATGGATTTGTGGTAGATCTGATTATTTTTTATGAACTTTAATGAAACAATACCATTTGCATACTTACACAATTAATCCAAACCTTTTTCTATATCATAGGACTTGTATAAGGCCTGTTGTGATCTATGGAGGTACACAAACAGACTATTCGATTCGTCAAGTAAAGCAAGGCTGTAATATACTGTGTGCCACTCCAGGAAGGCTTCTAGACATCATTGGAAGAGGAAAGGTGAGATCTTAACACTTCCTCTGAATTCCCTAAATACTCTTACCTAAAAGATAAAATACTGTTTTTCATTCTTTAAAATTAATAGAAGCAGAGATTGGTTTACAGCACTGAAATACAAGTGAGGTTTTCTTAGACTGTCTGAATTCCATGAGGTTTTTGAAGGAGCAGCCTGAGTCTAGATCTCTTGACTTCCTTTCAGAGACAGCTGGATGATATGACTGTAAATTAAAGTGGCTGCAGTGGTCATGGCAATAAAATTTATAGCTTAAATTCCTGGAACACCATCACTTTATTCTTCTGGCATGTTCTATATTGGATCTTCATTTGGTGTCCTGTTTGTTTTGCTACAGTGGCTTTTTTATCTGTCTGGCACTATATTTTCATGCTGATCCTGAGACACAAACTTTGAAGAATTTAGAATTTTAGAGAAGATTTTAACTAAGGATAAGCTTCACTGAAGCTAATTAAATAGATGGGCCTTGCTAAAAGTAGGAGTTAATAGTTAGCTATCCTGGATTTAAATAACTACTTGCCTGTCAACCTTATGTTTGCTCAGTTTAGCTTGTAATGAGAAACAGAGAATCTGCTAAGAGACTTCAAGAACACAGGACAGTTACATATCAGAAACTCATTGAAGACAGGAAACTGAGAGTCCAAGACAGGTTCATTTGTCACTTTGCATTGAAAAGGTAGAAGGGTCAGAACAAGGAAGAGCTGTATTTCTTCCTCCCTTCTATGACCCCTCCCCATAAAAAGACTACTGACCCTTTTCAAAGAACAAACTACACATGCTTAATTGCTTTTTGCTGATTAACATATGAAGCAGAGGGTGGGTGGTGACTGGATTATGAATATGTATTTGTATTCAATGCTTTTGTAAATAAAAGGCCTGTAATTGGTGCGGTGCATATTCAGGGGGCTACTCCTGTATTAGCATGGAGCTGCATAAACATACCGTTTCTGACTTCAAATGGTTAGACAGTCTTTGTCCATCACAGTTGGATATTGATACTATCCACATTTTAATAAAACAATATAAACCACAAAAAACTCCAGGTTATATAGTACTATATATGAATTTTTATTTTCCCCTGTCATTCTAAATTCATATTGAATTTTTTATATGTTAGAGTGGTGACTCAGTGCTGTTCACTAAACAAACTTAAGTTTGGAAAAACACTTGGTAGTAAGTTGGAGATCAGTTTTCTGCAGTTGTCAGGCTTTTAGTCAAAAGTGATAGTCTTGGTCAGCAGCAGTGACGTTCTAATATTCTTAGTAATGCTTTCTAACATAATTTTTTGCAGGGATAAAAAATTTTTTGAGAATGTTTGAGGGTCATGAGAGAATATTTCTAAAACTAGAGGCATAATTCCAAAATAGATGGCCTAAATTATAATTGGCTTCCATGCTCTGTGTTTACATTGTTGAACCAAGTTCTGAAGCACTGTGGTGTGTGAATTTGTGCAGATTGAAAGGCTAATTAGAGATTGAAATATAAACAAATCATAGTACTTTTACTTTCTATTAACTTGAGAGAAATAAGTAAAAGGTGGATTTTGGTGGTTAGGGTATTCTGTAAGTGCATACTGTCAGAGAACCAATAGTGTTTTTCTTTGACTGAATTACTTGCAGATTGGTTTGCATAACGTGAAATACTTGGTACTAGATGAAGCAGACCGCATGCTTGATATGGGTTTTGGTGCAGATATGAAGAAGCTGGTATCTTTCCCAGACATGCCACAGAAAGACAAACGCCAAACACTAATGTTTAGTGCTACTTTTCCTGAGGAAGTACAGAGGTGAGTAGAATAAAAATAGAAATATATCTGAAGACATACTTGTATTGAACTAAATATCTGAAGAGTTAAAAACACTTATTTTTAAAAGCTTGAAAATACCAAAAGCTATAATAGTAATATTCGTTGCTTAATATAAGCAGGGACTCTAAAACATTAACTGCTTAATTTAGGTGGGGACTCCTAAGCAATTTAGAAAGCAGTCTGAAGGCTTTTAAACTGTGCTTCTGCAGAAGTCCTCGTGTTTCCTCTGTTGGTTTCTTGTTCCTCCCCCGCCACATCTGTGCAAGCTCTAAACCAATGATGTTGCTAGTAACACAGTCTTTGGCTAATGAGACATACCAGTTATTACTGCTCAACTTACCAGCATTTATGATAAACTATTCTTACTTATACGGATAATTGGTATTTTCTATTAGTAGTTTTAAAGCTTCTACAGCTTATAAGATATAGTTGATAGTTACAGTTGATGAGATAGGTTGATGACATATCTTATATATTTACTACTCGATACTTCTAAAGTTCCTCTCACTTAAGGGAACAAGTCTTTCACAGATGGTAAGTATAGTTGCTTATTAACAGAACAAAACAACTAATTCCCTGCAGGCAGATGGAAACTTTTTAGTATTTCTTCTGCTTTTTGAGACACCAGCATCTAAATACACATTGTTAAATCAGAATAGTCTCTTCAGTTGGAGAAGTGCAAATAATTTTGATGATTTATGTGGTAGGGATACTGTTAGAGTGTTGGCAATTCAGTGAGTCAAATCCTGACAACATCCTTTGGTCTCAGAAAATCTGAAACACCTTTTTTGAGGTTGGGAGAAAATACTTTTTAGTCATTCACAGTCCTGAATGAAAGAGGGGAATGGGCCGCTTTCTCCCATTCAGTCAGGTAGGGCTGACCACTTATGTGGAAATATATCACCTTTTTTAGAGCAGGACTTGCCTGTTGTGGCTATGGTTCTTTGTCAAGATGTTTTTCATAGGGTTCTTTGTATGGAAAAATAACCTTCTAGTGAACTAAAAACGCTCTTGTTTGCTCAGCTGGCACATCAAACATTCAGATGATACCATGCACAAGTATAGTTTGTGTTCATTCAGTGTGTTTACCTTGTCAGTTTTTGGGTTTTTGTTTGTTTGTTTGGGGGTTTTTTGTTTGGGTTTTTTTTGTGTGTGGTATTTTTTTGTTTCAGCTTTTTTTTGTTGTTCTTGTAACCATCTGAAACTGAAATGACTAAAGGTACTGTTCACATTTTAGTGTGTGAAAACCTTTATTTTTTGGAGTCAGTTCATTACTGGATTTAATGCTTTTCTGCTGCTGAAGTGAGGAAATGATTTCCTCATACTCTGCTGCCAGGAGAGCTTTAAACAGTATACTGTCTTGGTAGTATTGGACACAAAGATGCTTTCTTTGGACCTGTTGGGTTCGGACTATCCTGCACTTCAGTTCAGTGAGTATAATCAGATTTAGTTTAACGTTTGGTTTTATACCTGGACTTGTTTCTGCTGTTACACAGACCTTTGACCTGATAGTTGAAACTTTCTGTACAAGTGAATTGAGAAAACCATGTGTTTTTCTAGTTGACTGGAGAGCAGTTTAGCATTTGGGGTTTTACATCTGCCACTGAAAGGCTGCGGTTTAATCTCAGCTGGCAGCTGAGTATCGAGCAGCTGCTCACCCTGGAAGGCTACTCCAGGGTCTCCCTGAAGTCTTGTCTTCCCTTAGAACAACCCCACCTCTTGTCAGTCTGTCGTCATAGCAGAGGTACTCCTTGTCTGTTTTAAGGTTAGTGGCCTCCATGAACTCATTCCAGCAGGTCCACATCTTTGTTATACTGAGGACCCCAGAGCTGAATGCAGGTGGGGTCTCACAATATCAGAGCAGAGGAGCAGCGTCCCCTCCCTTGCATTGCCGGCCACACTGCTTTGGATGCAGTCCAGGGCACAGTGGGTTTTCTGGGATGCAAGTGCACCTTGCTGGGTCATGTCCAGCCTCTCATCCACCAGCACCACCATGTCTTTCCCTCCAGGTCTGGTCTGGATCCAATCTCTGTCCAGCTTGTACTTGTCCTGCCCTATCAGCCTGTGTGAAAGGTTTCTCTGTCTTTTTTGTAACGCCCCTTTAGGTACTGGAAGGCTGCAAAAGGTCATTCCAGGCTTAGTAATCCCCACTCCTCAACTCTCTGTTTGTCTTCAGAGGAGAGGAGTTCCAGCCCTCTGATCATCATTGTGGCCTCTCTGGATCTTAATCAACATGTCTGTCTTCTGGCTGAGGATGCCACAGCTGGATGCAGTACTCCATCTGAGGTCTTAGAGAGGCAGGAGTCCTTTGACCTGCTGGTCACACTTCATGCAGCCCAGGATGTGGTTTGTGTCCTGGACCCAAACTGCAGGCTCTTCTGGTTTTTAAAAAAATGTATATAAGACTACTTGTATTGTTCCTCACAAAACGGAGGATAAAAATATTTAAGGGTTGTTTAAACATAAATGGAAGTACATGCTTTTAAGGCAAAAACAATTGCATAATATGTTTCATGTTGCTCTGTTATGTCTCTTTTTCAGGCTAGCTGGTGAATTTTTGAAAACTGACTTTTTATTTGTTGTTGTTGGACATGTGGGTGGAGCATGCAGTGATGTTCAGCAGAATATTCTTCAAGTTTCTCAGTATTTCAAGAGGGATAAACTGATAGAAATTCTACACAGCATAGGTAACTTTGCTTACTGCCAGTTGTTCACCAGGGAAGTCAAAATTTCTTGGTTTTAAACTTGCCTTTAAAAGGTCATGGTTGTATGATTTTATTGTGTGTTGCATGCTTTGCAACACTGTTGATGAAGCTTCAAGCAGAACTTGGGGAGCGGTGGGTTTTTAGGCTTATTTGTGTAGGCACTTCATAGAGTCATAGGATAGTTTGGGTTGGAAGGGACCAGTATTTGTTAATGATTCATCTCTACTAGCAGACAACCTTCCTAGATGGGTTTCTACTTTACATGATCAGTTACAATATTTCAGCATTTTGGGGTATTATCCCAAGATTACAGATATGTTAAGATTGTGTGAATGTTTGGGCCTGTATTTTAGTAGTATCTGGGATTTTTCAATGTTTGTTCCGTATGTCTTAAGTTTTAATGCTGAAGACTGAATGTGAGTTCGGAATTAAAAAATAGTCTGTGGATTCTTGCTGTTCAGCACTCAGGATAATGTGCTGCTTTGAGCCACATGCTGTAGAAGGGGAATGCATGCCTGTCACAGGGAACAGTGTTTTTATTGAGTAGAAAAACAATGTATGTTTCTTCACTCAGTTTCTGTATTGATACAGAAATTGACGGATTGAATTTAATTAGCTCAGAATAGGCAAGAATTACAGTCATACTTCAAAGAATGTTAAAAATTTATGCCTGTATGAGATGCTAATACAGATAAGTGCCACACTAAACAGTGAAAATGCATCATGTTTCAAACTGCAGTGACTTTAAACTTCTGTTCAACATAGGTAATGAACGAACTCTGGTCTTTGTGGACACAAAGAAAAAAGCAGACTTCATTGCATGCTTTCTTTGTCAAGAAAACATACCAGCTACTAGTATCCATGGGTAAGTATTTTTAAAGTGAAAGTCATGTGTGTTCTGTAAGAAGCTTCTATTGAGCACTCGCATTTGGCCGTATCTGCATAGTTTAGCTTGCCATGTGTTCTGATACAGGCAAGAATATCAAGGTTTAAGAAAGGCTAAAATGGTCTTAGCATGATGCAGGATGTTTGTGCATATATCCTGTGGCTGTTGGATTTGTAGGTGTGTGAAAGCCACACAGCTTTTGAGAAGATCTGGCCTTCCGATCCTAGCGAGCCTAAATAGCAGCCCCCCTGTGTGGGAGGAGGTTCTTAATACATTTATGTAGAATTATTATACTGTGAATTGAAGTATACATAGAATAACTGGTTCAATGAAAGCTGTTAAACTGTCATGAATGTTACTGGTTTCTGATTAATTTTACCTTTTTGAGTTGAAGTTAGGATAGTTACTCTTCTCTGGAGTAGTGGTTATACCAGGCTTCACTAAATATCCCACGTTAAGATCCTAAAGAGCACTAGTTAGCTTTCTAATTTGTTTTCTTACTTGGACAGTGAAGAACACAAGTGAAATCCTGAACCATTGTAGCTCAGTCATGATAAACAGAAGACAAGTTCTGTACTGTTGACTGCCCACAGGTTTTTTTACTATATCTGAAAAATGGCCTGTGCAGGAGTCTGTGTAGACTGTCTTTGCTGTTCTGTCTCCCTGCTACAAAGCTGTAGGAAAAGCACTTGTAATCAATTAAGCAAGTGCATTTTCTTAAGAGAGGCAGTGAGTTTTATGCATGATTATCTCCAGTTCTTTTAAAAAAACCCCTCAATTTCTCTACAGACTTAAGTTCAAACAGTTGCTTTGTCTTGCTGCTCCTCAGTAAAAAATTCAGAAAACCTAAACTGGGTGGTGTATGAGTTGTTTGGGTCTTCTTATGTTTTGAATTAATTTCCCACCCCGCCAGAGCTTCTTCCCATGAAACATGGCATTTAAATTGTGTCTTAAATAATACTGTAGATTTTAGAGACATCCATTCTAACCCTTGCTTTCTTTATAGAGATAGAGAACAGAGAGAGAGAGAAATAGCTCTTCGGGATTTTCGTTCTGGAAAATGTCCAGTTCTTGTGGCAACCTCAGTGGCAGCAAGAGGTCTAGACATTGAAAGCGTTCAGCATGTTATTAATTTTGATCTTCCTTCCACCATTGAAGAGTATGTACACCGAATTGGACGAACTGGTCGTTGCGGAAATACAGGGAAAGCGGTTGGCTTCTTTGATAACAATTCTGATGGTCATCTTGCACAGCCTCTAATTAAAGTGCTTTCAGATGTAAGTTTCAAATCTTGGTGCTTAACTTTTTCTGTTAAGATTTCACTTAAATGTACTGAGCAACTTGGGTACAGTTACGGAAATCTTAATCTGAATTGGTAAAGCAGTCAGAGTCTCTGAATGGATATTCTAATTGCATAGGCTCAGCAGGAAGTTCCTGTTTGGCTGACGGAAATTGCATTTGAGTCTGAAGGAGGACGACTCCCAGTTCATACCCAGAAGGTAGGTCTGGAAATTAACTGAAAGTCTTGGCTGTTGGAACTTTGTCTTGATTTAAAACTGTCTTTAGTGGAATGTGACCAGAGTAATGCCATTGAAACTGTTCTGACTGTAATTGCATTCCTTTTCTTAGTTGTGCATCATCAAAGAATTCAGTATTACTGAAACTAGTTTCAGACAAGTGCTTGACTTGGGTTCTTACAGTGTGGCCCCTTACTAGATGCCATAGTCTTGATTATAAAGTCAGGATTCCTCTGGAAGAAAACATTCATGCAAACATACATAGAATCTGTAGTTCAGAAATTTCTCTGCTTCACATGGAGGATGGGAGCAAATAGTTGCTGATAATATAGTTGCTGCTCGTTATGAATCACCCAGTCAAAAAACTCATTTGACTGAAAACTTCAGCTAATTATAATTACATAAATGTCCTAGTCTGGTCTATGTCAACATCCTAAATGTTGGTGACGAGGACAAGCCTTCTAGTCTTACTGATTTTAGGATTTAAATTCTATGCTTATGTCTGTTTGAAAGACTTTCCTTTATGTCTTGATTCCATAAGAATTTCATCACATCTCAGTTGCTTCCAACAACAAATGTACTTTCTTTGAGACCATAGTAGAAATAATTGTTCTCAGTGCCTAAACAATGTCTGAAGCTTCAGTTCAAGCTCAGACCTTCCTTTCATTATCTTTTCCCATACCATAGTTGTTGAAAGCATTGGGTGGTTGGTTGTTTTTACATGGCTGGCTAGTCCACTTACTAAATCTGAGTAATTTTTCTAGGGGGCCTTCATGAGGTCTGTTACACAAATGTCACTTCCTTCTCAAACTTGCACCCTCACATTAACAGCTGTTGTGAATGTTTGTGTACACTTACATTTTCTTGCAGAGTAATTCTTGACTAGTAGATCTTTTTTGTATATTCTAGTTCAAGGACACTTTATTTTTGCTTTTTTACTGAATTGCTTTCAGAGGTGGATCTCACTAGATGGTTTCCAAATGCAAGTCTTCAGTCTTTGTGTCTCCCAGCATTTCATGAAATCCATCATTTCTAGGTCCAAGTCTGTCCATGTCCTTTATGACCTCTGAGTTACCAAATCTGACTATGACTATTTGTCCATTATAGAATAGATTTTTGTGAAATCTGTCTGCTTGGATTGGGAATATTGCCCTTAATATCGCATATACATACAGTGCACCAACTCCTTGAGTTTTGTAGATTGTGAGGTTTTAATTATTATGAGACCTTCTCATGTCAGTCTGACAGAAACTCTTTAATTTGTAATTGGCTCAATTTTTCAAGAAAATTCCATCTGATAATCAAATGATGAATTTGAAAGAGGAATCTTTGGAAGTTCTTAGGTGATTATTTTGAGGAGTCTTAGAGATAACTGAGCTTTATTATTTTTCCAAAGGAAAATAATTTTATTGGGAAGTAATGCAGACAGTCATTCTTAAGTATATAGTGGAGAAGGAAGTTTCTTTCCTCACAATTTTATGAACTGATTTGTGTTTGGTAAGAAAAGAAGTTGGGATGTGAACTCTGGGAAGTGTTATTCCCACATGTGATAAAATCTGAGGTTGATTAAACTGCGGTAATTTCACACCAGGGTCAAAAAACCTTGTATAAAGAAGATTAATAATGAAAACTTTGAGTGTTCTGATTATCTTGCGATAGATGCATGCAGAAAGCTAAAATTGTTTTGTGGTGACTTACCATTAAATGATTGAAAGCATTAATAATTCTAAACTAAGACTTACTGTGTTTCCTAGAATTACAGAGGCAGAGGCAGTGTGAATGCAGGAGAAGTAAGGATGGAGTGTTCTGCAAGAGAAATCGAGTCATGGGATTAAACTACTTCATACCAAACTAGTTTGTACTCTGTTGTGCTGTAAGTGAGATGTTGCATGAGAAAGTAATCTTGTGAAGGCCTAGTTTGGGAAGGAGCTTTATGTAAGGGTTCACCTAAACTTTGTTCCTTTATTTGTAACATGTCAGTTAAAAAGTTTGAATCTTGTGTTATGATGATGTAAGGATTTGTTAAACAGCTCTTAAGCAGTTAATAAAAGTTTGAGATACGCACTTTGATTGTTGTCTCTGTATCAGCTATATGTCATTGCAGTTTTATGAACTTTGACATGTGTGGAACATTTGCATCTGCATGTGGAACTAAAGGTCAGTGGCTACACCCACAACTTAGTGAAAATAAAGGGTTTTTTACAGAGATGTCTTCAGAGGGGGATGGAGCCCTGCGTTGCATCTATTAGAATGTTTTTAGCTTTGACTGACATATCTGCTATCTGTTATGAAAAAGTTTGCTTTAGAAGAAACTTGGTGCCTTATATCCAAAACTTTTCCCAGGCTTGCAAAAGCTGTAGGAGGTAAGCAGTCACTAACAGTCATAGATTTCTGTAAAGTTGCTTTTTCATTGAATTTTTTTTTCCTTACCAATCCAGTATGCTACAAAGATGGATTTTCATTGGGTCCCCAAGGAAAAGGGCAAGGTCATGACATTTTGTAGTATCTTGCACAGCTGAGTAAGCTTACAGGCTTCTCATGGCTTGCTATTTAATACACAGTGCTGAACACCGTATCTTGTACAGTCTTTCCACTAAATCCAGGGAAATAATACTTCTGACGTCTGCTTACAGAACTGGAGTCTTAGTACCCAAGTTAGTGAGAATCAGAACTGACAGGGCAATACTAGGGGATCTCTCATGGTGAAGAAGTAGGCTGTCAAAGATGCTTGCATGAATATCTTTGCAAAACTATTTGCTTAAATATCTACTCAGAGAAATACAGTTATTTTTGTAGGCTGTAATTTTACTGCTATATATTATGCAAAAAGAGTGAAGTCTTTATTGTGTACTTGGAAGTGAGCTGAAAGGACAGTATACTTAAATTGCAAATCATAAATAGTGGATGTATTTAAGTGTGATGTTAATAACTCAGAGCAAAATATTCTGGGCAGTATGACTAATTTTCCTGAGAAATATCTTTTAACATCTTTGCATAGATTCTGAATTTCATATAAATTGAGGGTGCTTTTGGATGTCTGTCTGCAGTAAGTGCAGGTGAGCTGTAAGTGTTGGAAGAAGCTGTAAACTGATAAAACTTGCCCATTTCTGTGAAGAGAAGTTGAAGAGTCACTTGTAACCAAAACATTTAAAGGGAACCTGGCTTAGCATTGTTTAAAGGACCTCTGAGTGTTTTTTGCTTTGTCTCCCATCGTATGACTTGAGAGTTGTGGTCAGGCAACAGAGTTCTGCAATGGTTACATTTTCTGTAAAACAACTGTTCTGGCCCCATTCTTTGTAATAATTCACAGAGAAAGGTGATAAATGATGGCTGTTCTAGCATAGAACTGCAAACTATCATGAAAACATGGAGCCAACCACTCTGTAGAATGGTATTGAAATAAGTCGATGAAAAGTCAGGTTTACTATTTTTTATGAGAGGATGAGTGTTGGAAGGACCAAGTCTGCTGTAAAGGAAGAATAAAATTAGGAGGAATAAAAAGTTGGAGAGCAATATTTGCAGAAAGATACAATATTCAGTTTTGGTTTAAACTTTGTGATTCTTTAAATAAATATCTGCATGAAAATATTTCAGTGTGATTTTCAGCTGGAGGAAAATGCTGACAAGGGATGTTGGGGTGGGGAATGGAGTGCAGTCATCTGCCAGTGTATTTTATATTTGCACTCAAGTAATCTTACATGGAGAACCTGTTGAAAAGTCTTCTTCATTCAAGAGAATCCTGTTGTCCTGGTGGCACGTCACGGTAAGTGTTTTTAAAAGTTCTTTGCTGAACTGATTTTTAGCCTGAGAACAATGTAACAATGAACCTGAGATTCCATTTAGGTGATTCTACAACCTGTAGTTTGTGCTGAACTGGGGTCACAGTTTTTTTCTTATCTACTACCCCCAGGGTCATCTAAAGATGCTATTTGTATTGGAACTTAATTCAAGATTGTCAAAAGTTCTTGACAGACTAGTATTAAGAAATTACATCAAACCTTTCATTGAACAAACATGGATTTTTTTCAAGCTAAATTCAAGTTCTATGTGATATCTAAAACAACATTGAAAACGTGTTTTCTTTTAATGCCAGTTTGAGCACAAATTATGCCCAATTCTTGTCACTAAAGGAAAATATAAATCAGTGTGTTGGTTTTGCATGGCCTAGTTTTCGGTAGTGGGGGAGCCACAGAGGTGGCTTCTGTGAGAAGCTGCTGGAAACTTCCAACATATCCAGCAGATCCAATCCCTGACGGCTCTGAAGGTGGACATGCTGCTGGCCAAGGCTGGGCATATTAGAGGTGATGGTAACACCTCTGTGATGATGGAATTAAGAAGAAAATCAAAACAAAGTTGGAAACAACATGCAGACACCAAGGTCAGTGGAGAAGGAGGGGGAAGAGGTGCTCCAGGTGCCAGAGCACAGATTGTTCTGCAGGCCATGGTGAAGAAGACGGTGATGAAGCAGCCAGCTGTGCCCCTGCAGTGCATGGGGATCCACAGGGAATGCAGAGGTCTGCCTGCAGCCCGTGGGAGGTTCCAGAGCAGGCAGATGCCTGGAGGAGGCTGTGATCCAGTGGGAGATCCAGTGAAGAGTGACCCTGCTTCCAGGCTGGAGCAGCCTGGCCTTGGAGGACTGCACCCTGTGGAAGAGTGACCCATGCTGCAGCAGTTTTGGGAGTGCTGTGTGCCCATGGGAGTGACTCATAGTGCAGCAGTTTTGGGAGGACTGCTCTCATGAGAATGTATCCACACTGGAGAAGTTGACGGAGAACTGTCCCCCATGGGAGGGACCCCTCGGTGTAGTAGGGGAAGGAAAAGACTCTTCTCCCACAGCAGCAGAAGAAAATCCTTGGGTGATGAACTGACCAAAACCCCCATGCCCTGTCCCTTGCACTGTTTGTGGGAGGGAGGGGTCATGGGAAGGTATTCCTGAGGGCTTGCTTCCCACTGTCTTCTGATTTTGTTAGTAAAAAATTCACTTTGTACCTTTTAGCCAAGCCTGTTTCATGCTTGGAGTGTTTTCTCCAGGTTCTTAACTCATGAAGCCTTTGCTAATTTTTCTCTCTGATCTGCCCAGCCATAGTGGGGTAGGTGAGTGAGCAACTTTCTTGAGTGCCTGGCATTTGGCAAGCATCAAACCGTAACAGTTGGTAATTTGCAGCCTTTGATCTGGATCTGTCCATGTGCTATGGACAAGTTGTAAAGAATCTGGAGGCAGTTGCTTTATTCCGCTAAGTTTTCACAGTATGCTTAACTTTTTGATTAAGGGCAGCATCGCAATTCAAAAATTATGGCCATAAGAATTGAAGGACTGTAAAAAAAGAGTTCTGTAAAACAGAAAGAAAATAGAATGTCTGCAAAACTAATAATAGGCTGCTTAAAATCCTCCAGAGTATTTTGGCAGATAGGAAAGCAGACCATAGTCTGCTGAAGACATAATAAACAGTGTATTCTGAGAACATCATTCATTGTTGATAATACTTACAGGAATTTACATTCACCTACAGATTAGCTTTAAAAATACCAAAGAATGGGCCCTTCTCTCTTCATTGACCTCAGTTAAAGAGCTGGGAACAAAAAGCAAGCTTGTGGAGTATTTCAGTGTGTTGGTTGGCTTTATGCAAAATCTGTTCCTCTAAAATAAAGTGTAAGGCTTCGATGTTAGGTACTAACAAAGTTTTTTTCTGTTAGCCAAGTTTAGTAATTTGAATGTGCTGTCCAGCAGTTCTAGGAATTCCCTGGTGACTCAAGAGGAGGATATTTGACATCTGTCACAACTTCAGTGACAGCATAAATGGACGTGTTTTGGTGAGATATGGATGTCTGTACATTGTCCTGTACTTCAGAAACTGTGAAAATACTACTCTGTTGTTGCAAATTTTACTTTTTTATGTGACTTGTATTGTGTGTGGTTACTGTCAGTCTTTGGTAATAACATTTCTTATAAACCCTGTTATTTGAGGGTTTTATGGTATGGTTGTTTCTATGTCTTAACTCCACTAATAAGCAATAGCAGACTGAATCATTTGACTATGGAGTATGGACCAAGGACATGGGAATCTTGTATGTTAGCACATTATCTTCAAATTTATCAGTTACTTTTATTTTTTCTAGATAGCTTAAGGAAAATGTTGAAATCAGTAGAACTAATTCTGGACAATAATTCAGTAGTGCTTGAAATATAAACATTAAATGTTTTTTATTTTATGCTGTTTATTTCAAAGTAACTATCTTGGTACAGTCTTTGGTATTTCTAAAGGCAATGAGTTTGGCTTTTATTTCTTTTTATTAAGCAGAAAAAATAATCTTGTGGAAGGACACTTACAGGAGCTACTTTGTATTCAAGACTGGGGGGGTTAATCTCTTTGTTCAAAGTTGATTAGACAAATTATTTGAGAGCCAAACTGCTGAAAATATCTTCCTCTTTATGTTTCTAAATAAACCTGACTTACCTGTCTGGAGAACCTGATACCCTTATATAAGTAAGAATGATAATTTGCTTTCTCACTGTAAATATACATGTTGCCTGCTGATACTGTCTTACAAAACTGTGGACAGTTGCCAGAGCGGCCAGGATGGCCGGAGTGCCGTGACCTTCCTGAAGAAGCGTCCTGAGAAGGATGGCTTTCAGAGGCACAGGCATGTCCCTTCCCTGGCCGGGCAAGCAGTGTCCGGCTTGGCAGCAGCTTCTCCCAAGCAACACAGGGAAGAAAGGATTGGAGCTCTGGCCAGTGATTCCACAGAGAAATTGGCCTTTATTAGACCAGGTCCCCCTGTGAAGGGAGCCAGCACAGAAACTCTCTCAGCTGGGCAAAACTGGGTTAGATATAGGGAAGGTGAGGGGCGGGGAGAAACCAGTAACCAATGGGATGCAGGCACAGGGGCGGAGAGTAAAGGGAAGAGCCAATGGTGAACCAGGGATTAACACAGGGTTGCAAAGGTCTCTGGGGAAGAAATTTTGCTCTCCATAAAAACAGCATCTGTGGATCATGGGTGAGCTCTTCAGGGGAGTACAGCAAAGTCCCTGTTGGCCTCCACAGACAGTGGCTGTAGTCAGCTAATTTCAG